GGTGGTGCAGCAGGCAAAGGTAACGTATCAAGTCTGCTACCAATATCATGTGATCATGTTTACAGCACCCAAATACCAACGTCTGCTCTTATCAACACACACTCTCTTGACATCTTTGTCAATGATTTCTACATGTATGACACCAGTTTTTCACCAGGAGATATTTGTTTTCTTCTTGTTTTTTTCCATTTTTGCTCCTGTCGCATGTTACAAGCGTCATTAACCCCCCCACTTGCAAGGGATCCCTGTTGGAGTCACACATCTTATTCTCTTGAATTTATACAGACTTTATACTAGAAGGCCAGATGGACAAAGTCAGCAGAAGTTTCAGAGCCTCTGATTCTTTGTGTTCACTCATGCCCCTCCTCCGGAGAAAATACTGTGGATCTGCGGAGTTCAGTGCATGTCTGAAAGCAGCTATACAAAATTCTTTTGTGCACTCCCCAAATTGTAATGTGGAACCAAACTAACCAGATCAAATATAAATTACAACAAATACATGAACCTTGGGCTGGACTTTCAGGATTCTTAAAAAGGTTTATGCATTTAGAGAAGTCACATAAAAGTAAGTAAGTATTCAGTTGTCTCTTTAAACTGTGTCTATAATAGAAATGAAAAACCAACACTTGGTATCTTTGACATCTGTCGCAGTCTTAAACATGACTTGACAAATGTCCACATGAGAGATGCCTGATGTTTCATTTGGTGTATAAACAATGAACCAAACTAAATACAGACTAGGTAGTGAACTGAATCTAGGCTACATCAGATCTCACTTGAAGTTAGTAAAAACCTATTTCGCCCACACCCATTCTGTAAGCGACATTTCTAACGCTGCAGCTGCTGCGCTGACAGGGCTCAGGGGATTCACTTCACTTCAAATGACACCACTGAAGTGACAGTGAAACAAATCAGCGAGAGAGAGAAAGAGGGCAGTTACTGCATTTGCAGACAAGAAAATGAAAGAGTGAAAGGTACTGCAGATCAAAGTCAGTAAAAGAAGGTTAACTTTGGAGGCTATTTGACATTCATGTCTTGTTGGTGCAAGCCCAGAGCAGTGAAGCACAGAGCAACGCTTGGCAGCGCTGATAGCTGCAGAGGGGAGGTCAGTGAAAGTTTGCCTCAGAACATACCACAGCATCTAAACGTCAAACACTGCACAGATAAGGAGACACAAAAAATATATAAATCCAATTCTAGTACAACAATACAAAGGGACTATTGTGTTACCGTTACCATTTCCAACACTGACTTTCATTACCAACAGAAGTGAAAACTGCACACCAATCTGGTTTGATCCAGATCTTCCATGCTCATCTGCTCTCCTGCTTACTCAGCCAACTTTAAGTTGTCAATAGATTGCAGCCTGCAGCTTCCTACGTGGTTCACCACAGGAATGGTGAGGAGTGGGAAGAGAGAGGGTGGGGCAGTGCAGTGTTTAAAGAGGATAATTTTTGGCCGAGGCCCAATCCCTGCATGTGGGCCTGATCCATCTTGACATCCTGCCTGAGAGCAGCGTTAGTTAGTCTGCTCCCACAGTCGATGCTGGAGGAAGCAGTAGAATAAAACAAACTGAATGTTTATACATATATATTTATATATTTTTTTTTTTTTTCACAGGGAAGAAGCTTTAGGGACAAACAAAGTTGGTGGAAGCCAGGTTACCATGTGTTTGTGCAGCACTTGAGAGGAAGGACTCTCCTCTGCTAAAAATACATGCAGGTTTCGTTTCCTCTCTGGGGTCTGAGGTGCATGGATCCCTGCACTGTCTCACTTCCAATTTTTGGGAGCTGCTTCTTTAGACCCTCTTCTCCTTACATTTAAACCATATCGAAACACCAACACTACTTATTTTCAAAAACATATGGAGGAGTGGGGAAAAAAAGCTCTGACTCCAACATTAGATGACGGAGTATATATATATACATGTCTTGTGTGAAACACTTTTACAGTTCTCTGCTAAAACGATGACAGAATTTACAACCCTGTGACATGGTAATTACACTGGGTTGTGTAACACTCCTTTTTTAAGCAGCTACTTTAAGGAAAGCCCTTCACCCATGTAAGCTGAGAAGGTATCCATAAATATTGAGTGGATATAAGCAGACCAATATTCTCGGTGCAGTCTCACTCCTGTCACTAATATGCCAACTTGGTTTGGGCCAAGTTGGATTCATGCAGGTGCTCTTCAGGACAACAGGGATAACACAATGTGAACACACTTGTCTCTTCTCTGATAGAAAGTCCATGTCTTTGACTTTAAGAATGCATCCTGGTGGTTTTTTTAGGATCCAGTGAGCCTGACCCCTGCAATGCATTTTATTGATGTCCTGCTAAAGTTAACTTAACAGTTGCTGGGGTAAAACCTGCAGCCTTGTAACTCAAACTATATAATCAGTGCATGTAAATAAAACCTTGACCGTGATCGCACTGTGAATATTTTTTCATCATCATTTCTTATCTTATTGAACAGGGCCAGCATAGTTGCTTGTTTACTTTTTATTGGAGTTGATTTCTGAAAGATCCATCAAGGTCTGAAACAAACATTAAAATACAGCAGGTAGAAGGCTGTTTGGGTCATACAAGAATTATTACTAATAAATGAATAATCAAATGAATAATGAAAGAACATTCACTGTAACTGAGCTGTGTGCATCAAGCACATTGTGCTGAGCCCCACACACCCTCCCTGTCACCACAAACTGCTCTCAGGCATCACATGTTCTGCTGTCAATGATGAGTGTGTCATAATTCACAGAGTTAACCTCCTCCTCGTGCAGCACTGCTCTCCTGGGTTCATCGGCCACAGTGTGTCTGTGTGTGCTTGTTTGTGTTGCCTCTTTAGGAACCTTTTCCTGTATAAACAGTGTCCTTGTCTGGACCAGTAGACAGTATGGGGACCAAAGCCCAGTCCTAATGGGGCAAAACGTCATTTTTTAAGTCCCAGTTAAGGTTAGGGATACATTTAGGTAAGAATGTGCACAATGAATAGAATTCAAAGCACTGTCCTAACAAAGGTAGCTGCACAAACTTGCCTGTGTGTGTGTTTGTATACTTATATCATTTTGAGGACCAATTTGAGCGTAGACCCCACAGAATGAGGAAATTTGTAGCTTTCTGACCCACTTTCAAAGGGCAGTTTGAATGTTAAGTATTGCTTTTAGGGTTAGAATCAGATTTAGGGTTAGGTTGTATTTAAAATGCAGCAATCTGACTGTGTGCTACGAGGGTAGGCAGGTTTAGACATTTAGTTGGGATGGTTAGGGTGAGGGGCTGGGGAAGGCATCGTGCCAATGAGTGTCCTCACTACAATAGAAAAGAAAAGATTGTGTGTTTGTTTTTGTGCAGATGCAAATGCAGCACCGTTGGGATCAGCTGAATTCAGGCTGAAAGTTAGACACTTTCAAATGAGCAGTGTGCTGACACCGAGCATCACAAACAAACAGTCTGTCTCCTCTACTTTGACCAGAGGTTTCACTGTTACCATCCCACCTGCCGTAGGATGTTAAATTATTGTTATATTATTGCATCATCAGCAGTTCAATCTACAAGTACTTTCTCCTACAAACATTGCCTCATCTGCACCATAATCTACTATTTGCAAAATCTGATTAGATGTTAAACTGCAGTTTGTTGTAATTTTGCTATGGGCAATGACAATAAGGTTGAATTTGCTCTTAACTATCACGTTAAAGGGATAGTGAACCCAAAAATGAAATTTCACTCATTTTCTACTCATCACTATGCCTATGGTGGGACCGATTCTTCAAACATAAAAAAATGAAAATAAACATAAAATGCATAAATGTAATAATCCTGTGGTGTCATCCAAGTGTAAGTGAGACATTTAAAGGTACAGTGTGTAGAATTTAGTGATATCTAGTGGTGTAGTTGCATGTTGCAGCTGAACACCCCTCACCTCACCCTCTCCTTCCAAACATGAAAAAGAACCTGTGGTAGCTTCAGTTGTCATAAAAATTCAAAAGGTGTTTAGTTTGTCCAGTCTGAAGTAATGTAAAAAACATGGCGGCCTCCGTAGAGAGGGTCCCCTCGATGTAAATATAAAGTATTTAAGTATAAAGGGCCTTTTCTAGGGTAAAGAAAACTACAATTCATTCAATTAAGATGAAACGAACTAGTGAAAACATCATGAGGATCATTTTACATTATATTTATACCAATATATCCCTTTCACCTAAATCTGACACACTGGACCTTTAAATTCAAGGCTGTAAACATGGTGTAAATGACGCCGTTTCCAGTAGAAATGAATTGTCAGGCTTACAGGAGCAGCATGGAGGCTATTTATGGGTTTTTTTCTGTTTTTTTTATTTCACATTTGATGGATCTGTCACCAGTTACTTCAATTGTATTGATCTGGCTGCAACGCTGTTTACCCCTGAGACTCAAAGTGTTTTGTGGACTCAAACACTTCACCCACCCCTCCATCGGCGCAGTGGTGAGTAGAAAAGGAGTAGGTTTTCCTCCTTGGATGAACTATCCCTTCAGGCTTTGTAAACCTGACGATCAGCAGGAGGGGCCCAGCAGGTCGGTGTGCAGTCACATTAAAAGGACTGCTAGTTTGCAGCGATGAGAAAAGTTGGAGGAGCCCTGCAGGCCTGGTTAAATGTGTGGAGGGACTATACCGAGGTGTGTGAGCAGCCACCGGAGCAACACGAGCACACAAACACACGTCCGGACGCTACAGCTACCGGCTAACACACATGTCCATTAAGCTAATTATCGCGATGGGGCTGCTTTCATATCAACACGCGGGCCTTTCTGGACTCGTTGCCTCGCGCCGAGCATGGACAACTCACCCTGCCCGGACACACGCGTTAATACACACTCACGCGGCAGCGAGGCTGCCGTTACCCACTTTCTGAAGACCCCATTGAATTCGGTTGTGTCCACGTCTATCGCGCGCACAGAGCTATAGCAGCAAACAGTCTCACACACGCGCGTGGCTGCGAGGGTTCGGTCGCGGCGGGTGAACTTACCCAAATCATCCATGTTGTGCCGGAAATGGTTCCGCTGCTGCGCCGGACCGCTGCTGCTCTGTCGACCGCAGATGGACTGTGAGCAGCCGCCTCAGCTCCTGCTCGAGCGTCTCCCTCCGCTGAACGCTGCGAAGTTTTCAAGTTCCCCCTGCTGCTGCTGCTGCTGCTCTCCCACACGCACACGCACATGTACGCACACACAGCTGCCGCCCCCCCCCCGGCCTTGCCACCAGCCCACAGACACGGGCACTAGCGACACCTAGCGGAGTCTTACTGACCATGCTTCAATGTGCTGGGAAATGGAATCGTCTGCTTTACAAATATCATACACACTGTCAAACGCATTTTAAAGCAGGTAGTGTGCTGATGTGTGTTTGATATGACTTTGATTTAATAACTTTTCATATTTCAATGTATTCTGCTGCTGCTGTGATGTCAGCTGCAGGAGGAATGTCAACATCACCTGTCCTCTTGCAACTGCATGTTTAAAGGTCGCCATCGCCCAAATGGTGTCAAAAAAGAATTTGACATTTAATAAACCCTCACAGTGATTTCAAACTGTGCCCACCACATCCAACAGTGATGTCACACTGTGCCGACCACATCCAACAGTGATGTCACAGTGTGCTGACTCCATCCAACTGTGATGTCACAGTGTGCTGACTCCATCCAACTGTGATGTCACAGTGTGCTGACTCCATCCAACTGTGATGTCACAATGTGCTGACTCCATCCAACAGTGATGTCACAGTGTGCTGACTCCATCCAACTGTGATGTCACAATGTGCCCACCACATCCAGCAGTGATGTCACACTGTGATAATCTCATCCAACAGTGATTTCAAACTGTGTCGACCACATCCAACTGTGATGTCACAGTGTGCCCACCACATCCAACAGTGATGTCACAGTGTGCTGACTCCATCCAACTGTGATGACACTCTGTGCTAATCTCATCCAACAGTGATGTCACAGTGTGCTGACCTACCCCAACCGTACAGTCACAGGGTTCTTACAACATCCAACTGAGACGCAACAGTGTAAGGAACAATATTTATCAGTATTGTCATAGTGTACTAATCACATCCAGTGTGCTAACCTCATCACTAACACAGTCTCATTCATGCTTACTCGAGTCTGCCTTATGAGCTTCAAAAATGGCACACTCACATTGTCCCCCTTTCACTGCAGTATGACAACCTCTTACATTTATTTGATGGCAATAAGAAAGAAATTACAGCATCCTACCCAGGGTCTTAACTCTAGAACAAACATCCCAATCATTCAGGATTGCATGCAGAGTTGTAGTCACACCGAGAGATGTGAGAAAATCCATATCAAACTTTATAAAACCTTTTAGGGTCGTTTTAGTTAATGTGGAAACATTAAAGTCATCCGGTGGATACAAAGTGTTCTCTCTCCTCTTAGCTGTTTTTGGTCTCCAACAAATCCTGAGGGAACTAGTTGGTTCTGAGGATGGTTATCAGCTATGCCACTGTTCTGTCTGTCCGGTTTGTCGTGTGTATGATTCGGCCACAAACAATGTTATGAGTGTAAAGAGATAAGTAGACCAGTTAAAATAGGGGCCACAAAACCTTAACAGATGAGCTACAAGACAATACAAAGCTCTGTAGTGCTTAAAGGAAGGCTGAGTCAGGTAATGCTGCAATTATCCAGGTACGAGTTTGTCACTACAAATAGCTGTGTTCATATGGATGTTGTCATTTGACTCACTGTTAACATAAAAACATTCACCCTCTCCTCATTTGCCAGTTTGTTGAAACAGGACACATGATGTGGGCTCAAATATCCAAGTTGATCCAAACACTGTATCCCTCACCACTCCCTTTTGGAACATCCTCCCTCCCTCCAAAACAAAACTTGAGTCTTGGGGTTGACAAGCCCTCCTGCCCTGCCCCCCTTCACCCCGCCAAGGTCTGGCAACTGGGGCAGGTCTGGGAGGTAAAGATCACTTGTTGGCACCCTATTGTGTTCTTGTCGCACAAACTCCAAGGTATAGCATTACCCCCCTCCCATCATCACAGCACCAAAATAACAACAGGGCTTTGTCTCTCTAAAGCCCTCTGTTTCAGTAGCCAAACATTTTTACCCACACACACACACACACACCCTATTTTGTGCTTGCACATAAATATACAGAGGCACACACACAAATGATGCCACGCCCATGTTTGGATGAATCTCCAGGGGATTTCAGAGGACCAACTACACACCTGCTATTCTCAAGTGCACACATCCACTTCCTAACATGGAATTAAAGTGTAGATAGAGTTCAAGCACGAATCATATGGTCACATGAACATGGGTTCCCTTCAGATAAATGATTTAAAAGCTCTGGATAAAAATTGAGGCTGGTAACTATCTTGGAAAACTTTTATTAGACGAACATGCACAGATGAGACAAATTGATTTTTTACTATGACAACAATGACATTAGGTGAGTGGGCTTGAGTCTGTAAAAAATAATAATGAAAAATAATTTAATTAGTCAATCATTTGTCAGGGACGAGAAGAGATTTTTTTTTGTCTTGATACTCTTGAGAGGACCCAGACACAATGCAGCCAAAATGAGTAAATAAACAACAGTTCATGTCTCCTTCGAGGGCAGTGGGTCAGTTTCGAGTCACGTAAAGGCAAGAGACGGACGTTCGATGTGACAAAAATGTCGACAAGAAGGTTCACTCCTGGTCCTTTTCCTCTCCGTGGGTGATGATGTGAACCAGGTTCTTGTAATCCAGGTTTCCTGCCACATCTGGAGGGAAGGCAGCAAACATTTGCTCCATCTTAAAAACAGAAAACAGCTTTAGAACCCCTGTTCATGTCACTATAGCTTAGTGTGTGTGAAAAGGTGTCATGATTCAATTATCGTTTTCCTTCTTTTGGTTTCAGTTTGTATAAAAATGAATCTGATGTGGTTGCAGATGATTGTGAGAATGACATTCAACCCTCTGTGCTTTTTGGACTCACCCACACACACAAAGCAATCTGCTATAATCATGATAATTAGTTTAAAAGGCCACAATGTACCTCTTCGGGGGTGAATCGGTCGGCTTGTGTTGTTAGCATCTGTGTCACGCTGAGGGAGAGAGAAAAAGTGTGAGCGGTGACGAGGCCTCGTATTCACACCAGGAGGAAATGTCCAGGTCATACTCATTGTTGAGTTGTGCAGGGATGAGTGATGGCAGTCATACTCAGAAGAAAACATCAATTCTGAATAAAAGCTGACATAACGCTGCTCGCAATGAATTAGCATATCACAAATTGAGGTGGAGTGGAGAGTGTTGAGCGACTTACTAATCCTTCCTCAGTACACCCTTCCCCTCAGGGTCAAAGACTTTAAATGCGTTGAGGATGGTTTCCTCTGGATCAGCACCTAGATACATTAAAAAAAGAAAAAAACATATTGAAACATATTTAAATTCATGCTGCACTGCTTAGATTTTGTTTTTATGGTTACACTAACAATCTTCCGCCCATGTGCTCTCACCTTTCAGCTTCTCACCGAACATGGTGAGGAAGATGGTGAAGTTGATGGGGCCCGGAGCCTCTTTGAGCATCTCATCGATCTCTTCCTGTTTCACATTGAGACGTCCTGTGGCACAAAAGTCCGTCAACATGGATTTTGTAAAATCTGAACAACTCGAAAATGCTCTTAACAGAAAATAATCGAATCACAGTGTCTTATTATGGATGTGACTGATATACAGAGTGATGACAACACACCTAGAGCCGCAAACGTGTCTCTCAGGTCGTTCTTGTCGATGAAGCCGTCTCTGTTCTGGTCCATGATGGTGAAGGCCTGAGGTCAGAGCACAGAACATAAAGCCAGAGTTTCAGCCACACGCTCCCCGCAAAAAGAAAAAATGTAATCGATGTCACTCTCGGTTTTAGATTCTCTTTCTTCCCTTTTTGAGTGCCATCTTTGCACAGTGGATGACCACCGCTAAGTATTTATAACCTGCGAGTCCCCCTGGGTTTAGCCCGGCATCCAGGGCATGCCCAGCAGTTTATCTGCAACCTAATCACTGATGACACAGTCTCAATGTCTGGGCACCACTGAGCCTCATACCAACATACCACATGCCTCTCTGCCGTCAAGCCAAGGATGGGGAAAAATAGACAGGTGGACATACTACAATGATGAACAATGAAAACTGAAAGACACGGAGGGGAGAGGAAGAAACAGACCTCTGTGTGTTGTTGCTGTGCTTTCGAAGAAAGAAACACTTGGATCATAATCCTTGACACTGGTTTACTAACACACACATTCATGCAAGAGTTTGCATGATTCACTGCCGAATGTATGATCAGTGAAATTTAAATGGGTCCAGCAGCTTTCACCTCTTTGAATTCCTGGATCTGGGCCTGTTCAAACATGGAGAACACATTAGAGTTGGCTCCCTCTGCTGTCCTCTTCTTGGCTTTCTTGGGGGCCTGTTGGCAGAAAGACAGAAGATGAAGCAGACACTATGAGCTAGTTAAACTACATGGCAGGAAAAAAAATAATTAAAAGTGACTTAAAAGCTTAATAAGAGAAAACAGAACTGATAAACAATGGGAAATTGCTTTTGGGCTATTACACAAAAGCATAACCTGGATTAAAATGTATGCTGGGATAAAAGCATTATCTATAAATGAGATTGTTAATTGTCTTAGTTAGATGAGGGCAGTAACAATTTGACATGTATAATTTCAGTATCCATTAGCAGGTCAAACACAATGAAACAGAAATGTTCAAATCACCATTAAAATACAGGATAATGTTTGTAATTTAGGATGTGTCCTGCACACAGTGATGCATTCAATGTCTGGTGAAAAGTAACATTTCCATTCAAGCTTTCCATTCAAAGATGCTTTAATATTTTTCTTGTACCTCATTAATCATCGCAGAAATTGTTGGATTATTATTAATCATAAGATGTGTATCTTTTCAGCAATTCAATACACAGATGGGAGTGAGCACATCCCTGTCTATCATCACTCCATCAAACAGCACACAGACTTACCATGGCTGAGCAGCTGGGAGGTCAGACCAACAATGATGCCAGTGAACAATGGGGGAGATGGTGGGTGGCCTTTTGTAGCCCCAACCCTCAGCTCTACTGGATGATATTTATAAACTATGTCCTCTTTAGGAAGTGACAGGTAAATGATGCTTCATACAGAACATACAGTATTGCACACTCGCCCCCCCTGTAGTAGCCACTCGCCCTGTGGCGTCGTGATTGACACCGGACAAAGAAGAGTGGAATAACTGGTCTAGGATATCAAGAGCAAACTGAAGGTTGAAGCACTTAATCACTTTAAACCGCCCACTGTCTGCAGACCAGCATTCAAACTACAGACGGTGGTACCAACACGATCAGAGTAATATTGTATATGTAAAGTTAAAAGGTATTTATTTCAGAATATCTCTCATTTTTCACTTTTCTTCTCCACGTCAGTACTCTTTTACATTTTAGAGTAGAATTTCAGAAATTTTAACGTTTAAAAAAACATCAGATTATTATAATCTTCACTATAAATATAAAACATTAAATAGATTAAAACTCTAAGGCAGTAAGGTGAGGATAAAGTAAGATAAAGAGGGAGCAAGAAAGTTTGGTCCTCACCGAATGTGTCACATGAAACTGAGACGATGTAATGTAACTGATAAAAATGTCAAATACATAATGTCTCTTCAATACGGACAATGATGATATTATTATTCAATATAAATTTTTTACATGTTTTAAATGAAGTCTTATACCACCCACCTCCCCTGCAGCAGGATGATGTATGTGGGCAGTGCAGGATTCATTTTAAAGATTCATGAAGAAATAATGCACTAATACTATCTTTTCATTTCTAAACAGCACTACTACTTTTTTTCTGCAAGTCAAGAAACAATATAGTATATGCTGTACTTTGCATGTATGTAGAGTTTGAAAAATCACCAGCTCATTGAGTGTAATTTATTGACCTGTCAGTACTTTGTCACCATCATGTCCTCGCCACATGTCTCACACACTCCGTCACATAATTGGAGTTAATCTAATCTACCTTTCTCTGACAATGTCACAGTACGGCACGGCACAAATAGCACAAGTATTTAAGCGACATTTATTCTTGCTGACATTTATGCCAAGGAAATGGCCAAAGAGTGTGTCTCCTCCAATGTCTGTGAAACCACACTGTAAAAATAATAAGACCGATATCGAGAAAGTTTTAAAAGAAATGCATGACAGAGATAAGTAGTGGACAAAGGCCGAAGATGACATTCCACTAGGATGCATTTCTTAAACTACACTGGTGTAAGTGTTAAAGAGCTTGTGAAACTAATCTCAGCGATGTCCACAGAAGGTTGGACATGTTGAAGAGCTGAACACATCCTTACAATGTGCTGTGTCTCTCTGCGGCATTAACAAGTCGTCAAGTATCACTTGATGCCACCCAGGTCAAGAAAAGTGACAGTGCGTGAAAATGAGCTGAATGGTCCGGGGTGAGTAGGTGACACCACGGGTGTGTGATCTAAATTAAGAGAGGTGTTCAGAGACTCCCTGCGCTCCGTCCACTCACTGTCAAACGCAAAGCTGGTGCTGAACTAACAGCAGATGTCACTGGTGTCATCTCGCAGGCAGCATGGCGAGTACAAAGAGGTTACAATTAGACAAGTTCCTGTTAACAAACGAGGCAGCAGCTATTATTGAAAACTTCTGCTCTGCTCTCAGTTTCGGATCGGAGCAGCCGCTGCAGCTACTGTGGCTGGAATGGCGAGCCACTGAGCGCTGGGATCAGACACCTATAAATAGACCAACCTCCTCTCACACAATGGACATGGACAAATGGCCATTTCACTGGCAGACTGGAGAGTGAGTGTTTAGTAGAAAAGGAAAAAAAGCTGCACACACGACCAGTTTCCACTTCCCTTACCTTACAGGTTTAATAAGGAAGAGTATGAAGGGATTGAAATTAACACAGCCACAACACAAGAAGACAAATTAGAAGGGAAAGACAATGCATATAATATTTAATATTCTGTGACAAAATCTCTACAGGGAGAACGCTAATAAAACATTTGTTAGCAGACATCAATATCATATCCAGTGTTACGGCATCATGATACAGGATCATGTGAAAAGTAATGCTAATTATAAAAAGAATATAAAAATGAAATAAAACAGGATGGAAAAACCCTTCTTCTATAGAGTCCTATATAGACAGCAGTAGAAAACTTGTGCAATCTGTAGCTTTGGGTGCTTTCTGTTGAGAAATTGTGACCAATGAATCGGTTCCGTCGTCTTGGCTTCAATACATTCAGGAAGGTTTGTGACGTGTAAAAAAGAACAATAGTGGATTCAGTAAGTTGATGAAAAGTCTTCCTATTGAGCACACTACTGTTGACAGACACGCTGGGCAAGTTAAAATGTGGAATCTCCAAAAACATTTCTACAAACACCCATTTTCTATTTCCTGATATCAAATGAAGATCTGTAGAGATAATAACAGCTCAACAAGAGCAAAGTAATCGTGGACGGATTTGATTTTTTTAAGTTTAGACTGGAATGTTTAGCTTGCCAAGAGTGCCTTTAAAATTTTAAATTATAAGAATGAACTGTGCAAAGAGGTAATAGTTAAATGAACAGATGTTATTCACGTGCTTCATTCTTAAAACTGGAATAAAAATATTACCCGAATGAGGCAGAAGCAGAAGACAACACTCCGTTTCATTTCAGATATACATATCCATGCCGTTTACGAATCAGGGAAAATTTATTTTCCTCTTCACCTTGAACCATTTTGGGCTATTTACAATATTCAGGGACATTGTACAAGAAGAAATGCTCAAGTACTATGTTGTAAGCTTCATACATGATCTTTTTTTCCCTCCTGTCATATAATTTAGCACTGAGGTTTTGCCTTTGACAGATGAAGTGCATACAAGAGCTGGATCCAGATACAATCACTCACTTGATAAAAGACGTTTGGACATATTAAAAGAATACTCATTGGACATTCAAGAGGACACGTAATATTTTTTTTTTCTTTAACAAAAATAGACATGGCTTAATCCAGCCTTGAAATTCCTTCTTAATATATAAAATTATGTCTCGTCTATTTACAGTCAGATAGCGTTCTGAGGGATTAGAAAGGTCCTGCTCCATCGCTGCTGGGGGATTGTGGGTAGTGCAGTTTTAGTGTCAACCTATCTGAGGGCAGACAATCATCCGGTGTGTGATGTACAGGGGTTGGAAGGGTTCATTCATTTATGTTTTTATTCAAATTAGTGTTTGCTCGAGATAAGTCCTGTTACCTTAGCTAGCCACAGTCTCGACAGGAGACTGAGGCTAGTGAAGAATGATTGTAATAAGCTGATAATGATTGTGTATTGACGTGTCAGCGCAGGACTGGAGCCAGAAATGTTGGATGTTCACTACTCTCCTGCCCTCATCTGTAGCTACACAGGACAGAGCTGAGTGTGGAAAGTTGCCACTTGTGATAATACTATTTTCTGCCATTTTCACTCATGAGCGATATTTAGGCTTTGACTTGTTGCTACGGCTGTGCTTATCTATTACAGTCTCTACTGACTGGAGTAAACTGAAGCGAGAGAAACTCATGAGTCAAGTCTATTCACGTCACACTTTTCTGTTGTTGACGAAATTAAATCAAATCAAGTTACTTCCTTCTCAGATGACAGAGCACATACTCACACCGCACCTCAAAAAAACCTGCTCAGATTGTTAATATGGCATTTTCTGGACCTTCCTAAGTTCATTAAGGAAAAAATGACCTGATTGTGAAAACATCTATTTATTTCTCTCATTCTCTCTCTGCTCAAACAGCTCCAGATGTTTTTCTCTGTGGGGGTTTCAGCTTAGATGTCAGTCAAAACAGATGTGTGGCAGTGTTTCATCATGAGTCGGTGACATTCTCACTGGTTCCCGAGTTTCCTCCTTTTCCTTTACATAGATGATTTTCTCCGTCCATGTCTGGCTATGTGGCCCTGCTGTGTCTCAAACAGATGATTGGTCCCATACCTGGAGGAAACAGTGAACACAAGGCCATCAGTTACGTATGTGCAAGAAAATATGCTATAATAATTTGATGTTTGCTTGTGACCAATTAAAATTGGAACCAAAACCTATGCTAAAATACACAAAACAGGATTTTTGTGACCATTAAAATAAAATTGGTTCATCAACCCAATCCAGTGGAATAATAATTTTAAAAAAAAGTGATTGACATTAGGTGAAATCCTCTTTGTGAGGGTTAACTGAGAAGATCAACACCATGTTGTGTCTGTCAGTTAGAGATGAAGCTAACACCAGCAGCCAGGTAGCTTAGCTTAGCATTAAGACGAGAGCCAGACAAACAGCTGCTGGCTTTGTGCAAAAGTAGGAACATCTGTCTACCAGCATCTCTAAAGATCCAGAAATTTTGATTTTACATTTGTCCGTCATCTCATCCAACTCAACAAGACAGTGACCGTGTTTCATCCAAAATGTCAACTTAATATTAAAAGAGAGTAAATAAACGACTGTCAAACCTTGTTAACAGAGTTTATGGGTGTGCGTCCAGAGCCAGTATGGAGCCTTTGGCGCTCTTCGAATCGTCCGGGGGACCTCTCCCTACGAACATCCATCATCCGGCCAGGGGAGCGGTCCATGCGAGGGTCTGCCATGGCCCTCCCCGGGGAGCGCTCTAACCGGGGGTCGACCATGGCCCTGCCTGGAGACCCCCCTATCCTGCTTTCCAGCATTCTACCGGGGGACTTCTCTCGCTCCAATGGGCGGCTGGGGGACTTGTCCCGTCGAAACTCTGTGCGAGCCTCTCGGTAGCGGTGAGGTGTGCCTGGGTCTCCGTGAACCAGGGGGTTGGCTGCCAGCCTTTTAGAGATGTGCTCATTGTAGGATGGAGGCCCGCGCTTGTTGGGGCTGTTAGGGAGGAACCGAGGCATAAAGACGGGCACGGAGTGTTGGTAAAAGAAAGAGGCATGTGTCTCGAGACATGGGCTTTGCTTGGCGCTGTAGGAATCAGGTCAGTTATTAAATGTGGTGAAGCTGATGAGATCACACT